TGTGTGTGTGTGTGTGTGTGTGTGTGACTGTCTTAGGGCTTGAATTCAGGGTCTAGGTTTGTCCCTGAGCCTTTATGCTCAAGGCTAGTGTGCTGTACCATCTGAGCCACAGCTCTATTTCTGAGAGGTTCTGGAAGTTCATTGGCGATAAGAGAGTCTCAGATCCCCCCTTTCTAGACTGTCCAGACTGACTTCAAACCACAATCCTCAGATTTCAGCTCTTGAATAGTTAAGATTACAGGTGTGAACTACTGGCACTCAACATGTCTCCTAAATTTTAATCCGTAAAATTAAATTGAAAGCCTCTGACTACACCAGAAAGCCACAAGGGTACAGACTGAAGGGCAAAGATGAGGTTCCGTCCATGAGTTTTCCACACTTCTGGCTCTTGGCTTAAGGTGAGATCTAGCACACTTGGCAATTCATTGAGCCCCAAAGGCTTATTGTTAAGTGCTCTGTGACCACCCTCAACCCCCGCACTGGGAATGGGATGAGGTTTGGAGAGGGACAGAGCCCCAAGCAAGTGGCTGAGAGGTGACAGGGGAAACTGGTTTCCTGAGGCCTCTGTAAGAAAGTACCCAAACTCAGAGGCGGCAGTGCGGGGTGGGGGAGTGCTTCAAATAACAGACAGTTCTTCTCTGTGTTCTGGGGCCAGAAACCCACACCTCTCCATGCCTCCAGGAAAGGTCTAGCCCTGACTCTCTCAGCTGGGGTTTTAGCCCTAGCCATTACCTGCCTTGGAAGTGTTAGCTACGTGGCCACCCTCTCCCACTGTGTCTTTACCCAGTCCTTCCTCTGCGCTGTCTGTTTTTGACTTTTTGGTAAGGTCATGTGGATCAGAGCCAGCCTGCGGAGCCCCTTGCCTTGATTGTTTATCTCTGTAAAGGCTCTACCTGTAGGCATGTCACATTCTAAGGTCCTGGGGTGCGGGTGGGAGCTCAGATTTCAACAAACAGTTTTTTGGGGGAAGGTGGAGGGGTCACGAATCAACAAAGGGTCACAGGCCTCCGCCTTCATCCTAAGGGCTGAAGCAGCTGCTAAAGGATGTGTGGCACAGCCAAGGCTGTGCTGGTAAAAAGGAATAGAGACTGACCCTGGAGGTGAGGGTGTCCGCCTGGACCCAGGGGATCAGTTTGCAGAGGGGAGGCTGCCGCAGCCTCCGGCGTGGCGCAGTGGGTGGAAGCCTCCACCAGGGGGCGCTTGAGGTTCAGAGGCCGCAGAAAGAGGATGGGGGGGGGGAGTTGTGTGGACACTGGGCTCTATCAGAGTGAGTCTCCGCCATGTGTGAAGCATTCCCCTAATCCCAGTAAACTGCCTGGGGCACTCAGCACCCTTCAGGGAGCCACAGGTGAGTGTGCCCACCGGCTTGCCAGGCGCCCTGAGCTAGATCAATACACCACCGGCATTTTATCACACATTAGACTTGGCTAACAACACCTGGGACCAAATCCTTAAACCTTTTAAGATCTCTCACGACACCAGAAGAAAAGTAAAAGCTTTAAAAATGCATTAAGTTTGCTCCTTAAAGATTCAGTGCACGTAAACAATGCCTCTATATTTTTATTCTAATAGCATGTGCTGAAAACATGCATGTAACTCCAAAGGAATAAAACATATTTCTAAAAGAATGAAACATGTTTCCTGGGGGTTAAAAGGTAAAAAAAAAAATCTACCATACAATGACCTGTATATTCTAAGGCACACTAACAGAAAAAACAACTGTGTGTGTGTGTGTGTGTGTGTGTGTGTGTGTGTTACTTGGTACTGAGCCCAGGGCTTCATGCTTGCTAAGCAAACATTCTACCACTGAAGCTATGCCCTCACCCCTTTTGTGGGGTTTGTTTGCTTGTTTCATTTTTGTTTTTGAGATCAGGTTTTGCTACTGTTCCCCTTCACCATCGGTTGTCTCTACCTCCTTAGCAGCTGTGGTTACAGGCATATAGAAAAAAAAGGAAGGAGGGAGGGAAATAATACAGAAAGAGAAAGACGGGAGAGAGGGGGAGAGAGGGGGAGAGGGGGGAGAGAGAGACAGAGACAGAGACACAGAGACAGAGACAGAGAGGAAGAGGAGGGAGAGAGGGAGGGAGGAAAAGGAAAGCAAGGTACCAGCGCGGACACCCTTGGGGACCATGTACCCAGCTCATGTGAGATTTCAGTGGAGCCAAATGGAGCTGATGCAGAGCCACAGCTGGCCATTTTTTGGGGGGGGGGTCTGGTTGTGGGGCCTGAACTCTGGGCCTGGGCGCTGTCCCTCAGCTCTTCAGCTCAAGGCTAGCACTGTACCACTTGAGCTACAGCGCCACTTCCGGCTTTTTTCTTTTTGCTTATGTGGTGCTGAGGAATCGAACCCAGGGCCTCATGCTGCAAGGCAAGTGCTCTACCACTGAGCCACCTTCCCAGCCCCAACACAGCTGGCCATTTTTATGGAATGGCCTGACCTTTTCAGGAACTGTACCCAAGGATGCCTTCTGCATAGCATGCGTACTATGGAAGCCCCACGATCAGCATAAACAATTAAACAGCAATACATGCTACAATGCAGCTAAACTATCAAATGAAACATGATAAGATGTAGACATAAATTCTACACATTATAAAACTCAATGTATACAACATGTCCAGGATGTACAAATCTAGAGACAGAAAGGACTTTGAGTGTTGCCCAGAGCTAGGGTAGGGAGATACAAAGAGTGACCAGTAATAGGTAAAGGGTGACTGAAAAGCTTGAAGTGGGTAAGTTCAGCAGTATGTGAATTATAGCCCAATAGAGCGAGAATGTTCAAAGGCAAATTTTTTAAACCACATGAAAACATTTAAAAAAATTAAATCACTGAAGTCTCTTCTAGCATTACCAGGCCTGCCAGTTTTCTGAAGGCTGTGGCAAGTACTTTCTGGACACACAAGCTCAGGCAGCACTTTGCCACGCTAGAAAGAGGGCTCACCCCGGGCTCAGCACAGGAACGCTGCGGCGGCGCACACCCAGTGTTCTCCAAGAAAACCGTCATTAAGTAAACAGGGGACTTTGAGAGTGAGGCGTTTTAAACATTGCTCTGAGCCAGGCAATGACTGAAAGTGCTTGGTAAGAATGACTTGGCATTTTGGATTTGCCAAGTGGAGTGAGGGTATTTTGGAAGCTATAAATCAGGGCTTTATTTTATAACCCATGTTATAACTTCTCTCTCTTCCCTCTTTTCCTCCCTCATGCCTTTTCCTCTCTCTCTTTGTCTTCTCCCTCTTTTTCTTTTTTTTTTTTTTGTCATTGGTGGGGCCTGAACTCTGGGCCTGGGCGCTGTCCCTCAGCTCTTCAGCTCAAGGCTAGCGCTCTACCACTTGAGCCACAGCGCCACTTCTGGCTTTTTTCTTTTGGCTTATGTGGTGCTGAGGAATCGAACCCAGGGCCTCAGGCATGCAAGGCAAGCGCTCTACCACTGAGCCACCTTCCCAGCCCCTAGATCATTATTTTTCCAAAGCAACTCTTGGTCCTACAATCAGGAGGTAAAAAGAAACACGTGTCTTACTAATGAGGCTTCAAGGGCCACACCCATCTCCATCACCTGTCTTTGGTGCTGTTGCTAAGTCCTCTTAAAACGATACAAATTAACTCAACAGTAGTGAATTCTATACAGCCCCTAAACCATAGAGCTCCTAGATACTTTTCCACATCTGGGCAGATGCAGCCCTCTGGCGTCTTCTTGCTGACCTCTGGGTGTAGGACACAGGGAACATGAGACAAACATGAAAAAAAAATGACTTTTGACCTTGACCTGTCTTCTTGGTCAAGTTTTCACCTCTTGGACTGGAACATTTCTAAAGCCCATTCAAGAGTCCTGTGACTCCGCAGATCAGCTAGCCAAGCACATTTCCTGTTGCCAAGCAAATCTGCCTGGGTACCACCTCAGGCTCAGGAATACTTGTCCTGGCATCCACTTCCCACCGATTTTCTTTTCTTTTTTTCTGATGAGCCTCCCAGGTGAGAGACGGCTGGAAGAGTCAAGGGAAAGAAAGGACCACCCTGCTCCAACAATGCCTGCTGGTGAAGAAGCAGGACAGTTTAAAGAATGACTCCACCCACCTGCATCAGGACCCCGCTCTTCTCGCAGTTGATCCCGCCGATGAAGACCATGTTGGGCATGACTGGCCTTGGATACTCAAGCACAAAGTCGTATCTCAACAGCCACACCGCATCCTGATATAAGGCGGGTAAGTGCACATCTCTCTGGAGGAGATCTGCTGCCAGGACTTGGTACTTGGAGTACAGACAGTGAAACAGATAGATCTCCAGAAAATTGGCAATGAAGTTGACCACTCGTTGAGGAAACGTCATGTGGTCTGAGAACGTGGTGTAGCACCTGGGGACGTAGGACACAGGGTTTGGGCTCTGGCTAAACGCATGCTCCAGGGAGCAGGGGAAGCCCCTGAAGAGGTATATGGAGGGCAGACCCAGGTACTCGGCCAGGATCACACCACAGGGCAGGGCCGGGTCTGTGAACAGAGCATCGAACTTGGTCTCCCGGAGGAACTTCAGGGTGGCAGAGTCCTTCAGGAGGCTCTGGCAGTTGAAGAAGAACATGTCGATCACAAACATGTTGTTTCTGTACTCGGTCTGAGCGGCGGTCAGGAGCGATCGATTGTCGAAGTGGTGATTCCCGAAGAGGCGGAAACGGTGCTTCAGCTCACCCTCGTCATAAGGCACTGGATAGATTTTTCTTGTGTAGTACGGGGACTCTTTCAAAAGCAAATTCACTTCAGGCACCAGTACCACGATGTCGTGGCCTCTGACACTGAGATACTCCACTACATCCTTCATACTGAGCCAGTGGCTTCCATCCTGAGGGACCACTAGAAGCTTGCCCCCTAAAACCGTGCCCCAAAGTGCTAAGAAGACAAGCCCTGCGGGGACTCTCTGAAAGGTGGGAAGGAGACAAGGCATCCTGGAGGGATTAAAGGACAGAAGTGAGTGCTTGACAGTCCCTAAAGCACAGCTGTAGGGACTATTCTCTAAAGACTATTTCCCCTAAACTGACCAGTGATTTCCACAGAATCCACCTGGCTCTCTCTGCTGGCAATCTAGCCCTTTTATATGAAAGAAGCTATTAATATTTAACTATACTTAATATCCAGATCACTTGAACCAACCAGGTCCTTCTAGCCTTCATCATCTCCACCCACCCATCTCTCCCTCCTCTCTGTCTCTCTCTGTCTCTGTCCTCTGTCTCTCTGGCTCGCTCATATCAGACAGTTGTTCTTCCAGTTTGAGGACATGTTGGAGCGTGCTCTGGGACCTCTGCCAGCTCTCAGTCCTGAGCAGGAGTCCTCACCATGTCTACAGAATAGCTGCCAAGGCTCTGCCACACGAAAGCCAACTTTGCTCAAAACAGCAAGGGAGAATTAACAGACCAAGAATTGAAGGTTTGAGACCACAGAATAGTGATGGTGCCTCCAGATTCAGGTCACCACAGAGACAGCTGGATGAGATGGGCACAGGGGAAAGCCAGCTGGGCCCTGGGAGAATCTAACATAAACCTTTTTCTCCCGTTCTCTTGGGGCAGCTACTGTGATTGGGGGGTTTTCTGTTCCATGTTCTTATGGATTTGTACTTTAAGACCCGATTTTCCCCCTCGGTATGGAGAAGAGGCAGCCTGCTCTCCTTCCCAGTGGGATGAGCCCACAGATCTGTATTCCAATTGCCACATCTAGAAAGTGAGGTTGCAGGGCTGATGAAGAGGGATCTGATGTAGCCCTGGTGAGTGTAATGCATGTGAGGATGGATATATCCCACCAGGAACACCCTCAGGCTCTGACCAGGAGCTGAGTTCTAATTTAAGAATTATGGCATGGTGCTGGTGGCCACTACATATATATATATATATCATATATAATTATATATAATATATCATATATAAGTATATATGATATATTATAAATATTATATATGTATAATTACATATATAATATATAATTGTATACATATAATTATATCATATAATATATTATATCATATAATATATATCACTATAGAGAGTATATATGTAGAGAGTATATATATAATATATATATATTATATAATATATATATACAGAGAGAGAGAGCGAGAGAGAGAGGTCTACATCTAGATTCCTAGATAACTAGATATCTTGTCCTGTCCATGAACAAAAAAAATACAGGGACAGAAGAAATAAGATGGAAGAGAATAAAATTGGGAAGACATGCAGCTGTGGTACTCACTAGACACTATGTTGAAAATGAACGATACAACCTGTGGGTGGGATAGGAAGGAAAAACTGGGAGAGAGCAAGGGAAGGAGGTAATGGTCCAAAAAGAAATGTCCTCTTTACCTAACTTATGTAACGGTAACCCCTCTGCACAGCACCTTTATAATAAAATATATTTCATAATTTTCAAGCAGAGGGAAGAAACTGTGGACATGCATATTGTGGGAAAACAGCAGGGTGATACACATTCAAATGCTTGTGGCTCAAGTAGCCAAAGGTACAAACAAACAACAACAACAACAGAACAAGACGCAGACAGCGCGGAACGGGCTGGGAGGCCCACGCCCTGACACGCACTGCCTCCCAGCTTTGGAGGATGGAGGGCTGAGGACAGCATGTCCTACTCTCTAAGACTGTGGAGGAGGAGCATGCTCCAGCCTGTCCCCTAGCTTCTGGTATTGGCTGGCAATCTGTGCTGCTTCTTTGTAGGCTGGAGCCTCACCTGGCCCTGCCTCCTCTTCCCCTTCCTCCTGGGCCCATATCTTGTATCAAGATCCTATGGGGGAGGGGGTCTTATGGTGACCTCCACTTAACTACTAACATCTGTAATGACTCTAGACCCACTAAGGTCACCTTCTGAAGGCACTGGAAAGAACTTTAATATATCTTTCCGGGGGAGGCAGAGCAAGGGATACAAGTGAGCCACTGACATCCACCCACTGCCTCACAGCCAGGCCCACTTTCCCCAGGAGGGACAAAGGCTTGC